TCAGATTTTTAGAAAAACAGTTTTGAAAATGTAAACAAATCACGCTTTTAACAGTCAGATAAATGTAGCAGAGAATTACAGTTTTTTATATATTTTTTTAAACATTTTTATATTGTTTTTATCATTTTTGAATCAACAATTCAATTATCTTTATTATTATTTCATTCTATCAAAAATATACAAATAATAACTACTAAGTAAAACTTTAAAAATATTGTTGCTACTCAGAAAAAATTTTGGTATCTAAAGGCCGTCACCATCTTCAAACCTATAATATTTGAATTTGACACTGCGCTTGCGTATAATAACTTTCCACATCTAAACGACCGTGGTCTAATGTTGTTAACACATGGTCTAAATTTGAAGAAATCTTGCGATACTTGAACCTTTTGACACCAAACAGTAAGGAAATAGTAATGAATGAGCAAATTGATTCCATGAACACAAATAAGTATAGTCTTAGTGTAATCATCAGAGCATTTGAGTATTTTGCTACCTCTCGTACACTTTATAAAAAATTGCGTGATGATTTTAAACTACCTTCTATTCGAACATTGACACGCATTACTTCTAAAGTATCAAAATCTGATGATAATTTTTTTTTAAAAGAAGTTTTTGATAATTTAAGTGATGATCAAAAAACTTGTATTATTCTCCACGATGAGGTTTATGTTAAAAAAATGTTATTATATCATGGAGGTGCTCTTTTTGGAAAAGCATTAGATAACCCAGATTCTCTTGCAAAAACTGTTTTAGGTGTCATGATAACTTGTATGTTTGGTGGACCTAAATTTCTTGTGAAAATGTTACCTGTAAACAAATTAAATTCTCAATTTTTATATGATCAAATTCATTTGACTGTTGAAGCAGTTAAAGAGTCTAATGGCAACGCAAAGGTAATTATTTGTGATGGAAATCGAACTAATCAAGCATTTTTTAAAAAATTTGACACATTTCCTGAAAAACCTTGGCTAACCACCAATGGAACCTATTTGTTGTTTGACTTTGTCCACTTAATCAAAAACATCCGAAACAATTGGCTCACAGAAAAAGAAGGAGAATTAATTTTTTATGAAAATGGTGTTGAGAAAACAGCTTGTTGGAGTCATTTGATAAAACTTTTTGAAGCTGATTCTAATTGTCTAATGAAACTTTCTGATTTGAATGAAGTTTCTGTTCGACCCAGTCATATTGAAAGACAATCTGTTTCTACCTGTCTAAAAGTGTTTTCTGAAAAAACATACAGCGCTTTACTTAATCATCCTGAAACCTCCAACATCTTAAACATTAATGAGACTGCAGATTTTATTAAAATGGTTGTTACATGGTGGAAAATTTTAAATGTAAAAAGTGTGGGTGTAGATTGTAGGTTTAATGATGATCGACAAGCTGTCATCAGAGATCCAAATGATGATAGATTAAAATTTATTTGGGATTTCGGAGAAATGGCATTACGTATGACAAGTAATCAAGGGAAGCGTATAAAACAATTAACACATGATACAGGATATTCCATAAATCATACATGTAAAGGAATTGTTGAGTTGACAAAAACACTATTAAAAGAAAAACACAAATATGTCATGTTAGGAAAATTTACAACAGACCCACTTGAAAAAGAATTCAGCAAGTTAAGACAAGGATCTGGTGGCACATATTTTTTAAGTGTCCAACAAATAATTGAAAAGTTCAATATTTCTAAAACTTCACTTTTGTTGTCATATAACATTAATGAGTCAACTCCTGATGCAGGACATTCTTGCCAATTTTGTGGATTTTTACTTGATGAATCTTCAGCTGAGGTCTTTGATAATTTACCAACACTAGAAAAAAGTATAACTGTTCAATCAAAGATGTCTCTTGTTTATATTGCCGGATATGTGTCTCGTAATGATGATTTGCTTAATGAAAATGAACTTTTAACCAGAACAATGTTTTATTTTGAAAAGTTTGGTCAATATCTAAAATCAGTCGATAGAGGTGGGTTAAAAGTTCCTTTTGATAATACTGTTCAATGGGTTTTCTTCTCATTTGTACTATTTAACTCTATTAAAGATAAAGTTTGTCGGACATCCCTGGTCGGACATCCCTGTGCAACACTTTTATGCTTATATCGGATCATTACTTTTTTGACATGGACATCATGGTAATATACTGTCAAATATTTTTATCAAAAACCACTGCAAACTTTCCACACCAAGATCAAACAAAGAACCGTCTCTGAAAATTTTAAAGTTGTCTTGTTAAGTTGACAGTTATTTATTGACACTTATGCTTTTATTTCTTTATTGAAATTTATTAATTGATTTAAAGCTTCTGTTTTATGATTTTAAAAGTATTTCTTATTTATTTAAATCACTAAAATATATTTCTATTTAAAGGTGCAGTTACTCGAACAGTAATTTATTTAACTTTTGTTTTTTACCTGATATAAAACTTTTTTATTTCATTATTTAAGCAATTTTATGAATTGAAACAATTAAATAAAGTTTATTGTTAAAAACTTAAAAAGATTTCTAAATTGTACAAATTTTTACATAGTTTAATGCTTTATATAACGGGAGCAACATATTTTGTTTTAAAACAATTATCATATTGATTTTTGAAATATCGGCCCCCACATTTTTTTCTAAGTTTTGCGTGTCACGGCCTGTTACTTATAGATCGCCGTGATTTTAACTCAAGTCACGCATCTAGTTATATTTATACGTCATTGCGCGAATAGTATCCTTTTTTCTAAATTATCAAAAAGAAATTTTAGTTTGTATGGGATAGTCCCATAAATTATAAATAAGAATTAGTGTGTTACAGTTTCTTACACATAATGGACTTATCTAGTTAAAACAAAACCTTAAAAATCACTATAGTATGATGTTTTAATCAAACAGAGTGTATAAATAATAAACACATTTATTTCTATTGCTTCTAAAAATGTTTTCCATTTTAACTCCACTTCTAAAATAAAGAGTTTACAAAGAGGTATTAATGGGTGCAGTGACGCCAGGAGCATGGACCCACCCACTCCCACCCCCACCCGAACCCCAACCCCTGCTGTAGTGAATTGATGTTTTGGGTGAATTGTGGGTAGGGGGCACGGAGAACTAGTAGAAGACAAAGAAAATTACAATTCCAGAATTTTAAAATGTGGATTTACGAGCGTGTTGTGGTTACCTTGGGCCTATTTGCCTTATGTTAAATTCCAAATATTTAAAGAAATTATGATAAATATTAATTATAAGCTTAGACATGGCCTTCCAGTTCGAAAAACGCTTTGCCGCTGCTGACTGGGGAAGAACAAGCTAAAGTGCAATGAAAATTAGCTAAGAAATTGTTTAATTGGTGCCTATATAGTTAGAACAAAACTAAATAAATCAATATAATACGATCTTTTAATCAAACAGAGTAATCAATAATATATATTTTAAAATAGTATATGTTTTAAAGCTGTATTTACAAATCAATCAGATTTTTGCAGTTTTATAGAAATGTAATAAGTATTTTACAAAGAGGTATTACTGGGTAGTTCTGCTAGAGTAAGAGGATCCAGAGCAAAAGATACTGTCTGTGAAACAAATAGTGTTGAAACGACGGCAGTAACTAACTACTTGTACGCATTTTTTGTATTTTTTCCTGGTTTTTTCCAAGCATTTTTTAGTTGGAGTAGGTCCTGTAGCTTACGTTCACTCTTAATGCGCTCAATATTGTCTTGGATAAGTTTTACAGCTCTTTCAGACGAATCGTTGACCAAATCAACAGATTTAACAAAATTCTGGAACTTAAGATATTCTGGAAATTCTTTCCAAAAGATTTTGGAAGTTTCATCCAAATACTTTTTCCATATTATCGCCTAAAATGATGAACATTAACCATGATTCGGTAGAAACATAAGAAGCTAAAGATAGGGGATGATCGTTATGCTGCAAAACACTGGCAACATCTGATAGAACTGCTCTGACTCTCATAACTTCATTATTGTTATTGTCATCTCTCTCGGTTAAATATAGCAGCTTCGCCATTTCTTCCAAGTCTTTGTAATAGCTACTGTCGGAAGAGACTAACAACATTATAATTGTAGATGGATCTTGGTATCAGGTACAATTTTCCCATCCTAATAATATCTTTGATAATGTCTTCACTCAGATTAATGATCAGTCTGATCCTTGGCAAGAGCCTTGTCCATAAATCTTACACGTGAGATGGCTCCAGTTTTGTGAATGCTATACCTGGTAGCCTAATCTTTATCAAGATACATAACTACAAGCTCAGTTAGTTCGCAGTATTTACCACGCTTATTCAACGTCTAATTAAAAAATAGAAATAATAAAAATTTTAGAAACAATAGTATGTACAAAATACTATTGTTTGTTTTTAGTAATTAAAATTTAATTTTTTTAACTTAGTTTCTCAATATACCTTGGTTCTTAAGGTGTTTGCAGGTTTTCAGTGCTAACCACGCTTGCTTTTTCACTCAGGTACCACTGAACGTTTGGTGGTTGAATTTGACTAACTCCTTCATTTGATTCCCTTAAACCTTTTGCCAGTACTTGCTTCAGTGATTTGAAATCAACCATTAAAAACTAACTTTATTTTCAGTAAAACTGAAAATAAAGTTAAAAATGTTGAGGTGGGTTATTTATAATATAAAAAAGGACTGCTAAGGTTTATTCAGCTCACTTTATAGATACACATAAGTGTTGAATAGGGAAAAGTTTGTTAGTCAAAATTTACTTTTGATTCACAAGAGTTTGTATTATTGCTATATTTTTAATCTTGACTTATATGCTAAAATATTGTCCATTTTAGGCATTTCTTTATTTCTGTTACCTTCTAAAGATATCTTAAACTTTTTTCGAGTACCATTATAACCAACTTTCACTTTTTAATTTAATTTGTTGAGTGAGAGAATGAAAAACGATCAAAAAAAAAACTTTGTTACTTTTTTAATCATTGTAAAAAAATTGTAAACCTCATGTTTTAATTTTTTTTGTTGTTTTGTTGTTTACTTTTTTACATAATTCTCAACTTGGGCTTTCAGGTTGTTATCAGAAATGACCCTGAAGCCTGTCCTTCTCCATGGAACCAAAATTCCAGAAAGAATACAACCAAATTCACACTAAACACTATCTTCAATGCACGATAATCTAAACGAAAAGCTTTTTTTGAATAATATTGTATTTCTTGTTCTTCAAACATTCTTCCCTTAGAGTGACTATAAATACATTACAGATATTTTATTTGATGTAAGCCAAAAATATTTTTGATGTTACTTATATATATTGTTAAAAATTCTCACTTATTTTGATGAAAAAAAAAAAAGCCTAACCTGAATGTTTTGTTTACAAACGCACAAGCAATTAAACGTTTCAGCGCCATCTTTGGAAATCTGTCTTTAATAATGTTGAATAATGTGCTTCCTCAGAAAAAGCTGGTTTCTCTTCATCTTTTCCAAGGTAACTCCTACAAGGAATCTTGCTCCATGAGTAGACCATTTAAGAACATTTAGTCTCTTTTCCTTTTTTTCTTATTACATGTTCTATACAGAAAACCTATTTAATTAATATAATTATTTAATAAAAATATAATAAACATATAATAAAAACAAAATAGTATAATAATATATAATAATAGTAACAAACCTACTTGATTAAGGAAAACCTAATTAATATTTAAACCGTAAATTGAAAAACTGAAACATTTTTATCCATATAAAATTTATCGATTTACTTTTTTTTCTTTAAATGATGATAATTGATATCGATTGCATAGGATTGATATCGATTGCATAGGATTGATATCGATTGCATAGGATTGATATCGATTGCATAGGATTGATATCGATTGCATAGGATTGATATCGATTGCATAGGATTGGATTTAGTGAAAATAAAAATAAAAAATTGAATCTGTTGAATGAGAGAATAAAAAACAATAAAAAAAAAAAACTTTGTTACTTTTTTAATCATTGTAAAAAAATTGTAAACCTCATGTTTTAATTTTTTGTTGTTGTTGTTTTGTTGTTTATTTTTTTGCTTTTTAGAAATAATAAAATAAGTTATATACTTGAATTGTTTTTATACACTAGTTCTTATTTACTAATGAAATCTGGTTACGGTAGGAGGTTTAAATTTCATCTTGGTTGATGGATTCTATTAGCGCCAGTTGCTTGAAAACGCCCAAAATTTCTCGAAAAAAGTTCCATTACAAAATTTAAAACAGTTGGCGCCAATACTAGCCGTAATGCAAACACGAAAAAAAAAAAAATTCTGCACTAATAATATATATATATATATATATATATATATATATATATATATATATATATATATATATATATATATATATATATATATATATATATATATATATATATATATATATATATATATATATATATATATATATTCAAGCAATAGAAATGTGTTAAAGGTCTGTCACGGAGTAAATGGTCCGCCGGAGTAAACTGTCCGATAGGACATTTTACTCCGGAGTAGATAGACCTTTTCATAAAGCATTCCGTGAAAACGAGGCAGTGTTTGTAACAATCAAAACAAATCGACGATGTTTAAAAATGGCGATATTGTCTGGGTTGCAATGTGCTTTTTATAAATGTTTTTCAAATAGCTATGATAGATAATGTAAATGGAATTAGAGTTCCAACAAATATTATATTTTTCACATTTTTAACTGTAGAAAGAAATATTTGGTGTAACTTAATAAAAAGACAAGAAAAGAAAGATAATTTAAAAACAACAAATCTACTTGATTATGTCAAAAGCATTTCTTACAAGAAATGGTCCATAAAACCCCATTTGGTACACAAATAAAACTTTTAAAAGTTTTTAGGACAATATTGCACTCATGAAATAAATTTTCAGTGTCAGATACATCCAGACAACCACAAAGTTTCAGACAATGTTTGTTTAAAAATGTCGATGACGATTAGTCTGCATCAGCACAATTTTCATCGCCACAAAATGAAGTAGATATCTCTTTATCGACATTATTGTAAGCGCCACTAGAGGAAGTAGACTTTAAAGTAAATGTTGATGAAGGTAAATTAGTAGATTCATTTATCCAGTATAGTTTATACTGGATTTCCATCAATAACCAAGCTGTTTAAGCATTTATAGATCCTGGAAAAAAAATGGAAAAAACAATTTTTTATAACAACCAATAAACAAAAACGCTTCATTTACCGGACGACCAAGAGTATTAAAGCTGCTTGATGCATAAATATATTTATTTATTTTAACATTGACTTGTTTATACGGGAACTTTGATCTTTTTTTTATTTATTTTTATACAATATTTCAGAAGGAACAGTTTCAAATACTGTAAATACATGGATGTATTTTATGTACAAGACATCTGCATATGGCCTTGTATGGAGTGAGTTAGGAAGAAAATTTCCTAATAAATGCAGGAAAAGCTCCCTACTGTAAAATGTATCATTGATTGTGTAGAGTACAAAGTTAATAAACTATCTTAATTATTTATGCACAAAATTATGTAATTAGATAATAAAAATCATACATACAATAGTTAAAGTTTTAGTAGGAAATACACCCGGGGGAGGATTTATGTTTATTACGTTAATCAAGGTAAAACTGACTGTGGCTTTACAATAGCAGAATACTATAGACCACTTAGTGTTAATATTGTTTTACCATTATTTGGTTAAGGGTAGAGAAAAACTTACTATTGAACAAAACAATTTTAAGTCAACAAATTGCAAACTAAAGAATCCTTGTGGAGAGAATAATATAGATTTTTATAAAATTCAAATATTATAAAGGCCAAATATTATAGTTGGTACATGGTGAAAATAGTATATATACTAAATATATATATAAAAAAATATGATTTGTCAGATCATTGTATAAATTTTAGCAAATTATTTTAGCAAGTAAAATAGTGCTGATATGTAAAGTAAAGAGAAGAAACATAAAGGTGTTGCATTCTATCTGTATCTTTGGAGCTATTTTGAGAAGAATTTAAAAAACAAAGAGAAAAAGACAAAAATACAAAAAAATGCAATAAATAAAAAATTTAATTAAAAAAAATAATAATTTATTAATCAAGAAATAACTCCTGATGTTGAAAGTTTTAAATATTCAAATTGATTTTTATTTAGTAAAAATTAAAACAAAAAAATAAAAAATCTATTAAAAAAAATTACATAACTGCCAATTAAGAAAAAGAAAAGAATCCAGAAATGGAGAGCTAATCTTAGGCAACAACATAAAAATTTACAAACGGAGTGCAAAGTCCTATGGCTTACCTTCTCGTTGGTGCACTTCGTTAAATAAGTTATACAAGTAGTAAATGTCTAATTAATGAACAGAATAACCAAGGCAACATTTTTATTAGTTTTATTTAAGATGAGTAATTGAGACCAATGCTAAGTAAGTAATAAAATAATACTTCAAATTTTGTTGCTTGATTTATAAAATCTTTATTCATCACTGCATCACTTAGTTTATGATTCAAAAGATAAACATCTGGCAGACGTTAAACTTTTAAAATCATTTCTAAAAGTGCAGTTTAGCTTGTACTTTCTTGACTATCACATAGCATCATTAAATAGAATATATAGTAATTAAAAATTAAATTTAAAAAACTATTTTTAAAAAATTACATAACTGCCTATTTAGAAAAGGAAAGAATCCAGAAATAGAGGGCTAACCTAAGTCTACAATACTTTACTCTTTTAAGGCTACAATACTAATACTTACTGTGTGTGTGTGTCCATATATATATATATATATATATATATATATATATATATATATATATATATATATATATATATATATATATATATATATATATATATATATATATATAATACATATATATATATATATATATATATATATATATATATATATATATATATATATATATATATATATATATATATATATATATATATATATATATATACAGTAAGTATTAGTATTATAAGATTAAATAGTAAAGTATTAGTATATCAATCAATCAATCAATCAATCAATCAATATATTTTCACTTTAATAATACTGTATATATATACAATTGTGCGGGACATTTACAAACAGTTATAAACTGATGACGTGTAAAGACCTATAATGGTATAAATAATAACATAATAAAATAATAATAATAATAATAAATAACAATAATAAATATTATTAATAATAATAGAAATAAATATTAATAATAATATTAATAATAATATTAATGCAGTAATATAAAACACTATAATCAATATATATTTTACTACTATAATCAAAATAAAACATTTATAGCAAATAGTGGTTATCCTTAATAATAAAGCAAAATAAAAATATAAGAATCTTAATAATATCAATAACAAAAAATAGGACAGATAAAAAGTAGGAAAGAATAAAAAAAAAAAAAAAAAAAAAAAAAAAAAAAAAAAAAAAAATTGTTGAAGAGAATTAAGCAGGGGCAATTGCATAGGAAATAGTTTATTGTGTATTTATTAAATGTTAGATAGTTTAATAACAATGCCACAATCTTTAAGAGCCATATACACTATATGGGATGATGAAAATAAGGTATTTGATTGCGACTAGATGAACATTTATATATTTTTGTGTTTTACTTTTAGAGTTTTGTATTTTTTTTTTTATTTTTAGAGTTTTATATTTTTATTTTAATTTTATGAGTTTTATATTTTTATTTCTATTTTATGGGTTTTATAAATTTATTTATGAGTTTTTATACTTTTATTTTATTAAAAATTCAGCCACAAAGAATGACTAGGGGGTGATAGCATAAATGATAGTTCATTGATTATCTTTATTGAGGAGAAACTTTTTTACATGGGTTATGAAGGCATTTCTATTTGTCATTTTGGATAATACTATTTTAGTTTCAACAGGAAGAGAGTTTCAACAGTGAATTGATTGATACTTGATTGATTTTATGCCATACTTATGTGTTAGTTTTAAAGGCTTAGAGAGACTACAATAAGATACAGACCTAAGATTATAACTATGAATATCATTTGTAAATTTAAAATAGCTAGTGAAGCAGCTGGGCATATTATTGTGGACAATGTCCCATACAAGTACACAGTTTGATAAGTAGATAAGTTCATCAAGCTTTAAAATTTTAGAAAGATTATATAGTGGGTCAGAACTAAAACTGTTAGGTTGAAAGTGAATTATTCTTAATGATTTATTTTGGAGATTTATAAGGTTTTTTTTATACATGGATGAAGTTTGTCCCCATATCTGACAACCATAGCGTAGATGGGAGTTAAAAATAGCATGCCAAATATTCACAAGGGTTTCATAATTCACAAAATGCCTTATTTTGGTAAGCATTCCATTTGCTCGACTTAGTTTGTTTGCTATGGATTTAATTTGTTGAATGAACAAGAGATTTTCATCTAACAATATGCCTAGATATTTTATTTTATCTACAATATTTAGTTTTTGACCACTAATTCTAAAATTAAGTTTTTTGATAATTTTTTTGCCTCGAGGTTTGTAACAATCAAAACAAACTTTGCGTTTACATATAATTT